ATGCAGAGGCAACAACAGTAACGTCTTCATGATCCTATAGGAAATTCCTGACAGTAATAAGAGCCAGTCTGACCAGCCTCTGCTGAGAAAGTTCTGTGATACTGTAAAAATCATTCGGCTAAACCGAAAGTCTTACCTAGCCTTTAGAAAGAAAAAAACACTTGGGTAGATGTCAAAAGCCTTAGTAGCAAGCCAAAGAGCATAAAAAAAAGAAACAACTCTCAGGCTGGCTAGTATTAGGTCTTTCTCTCCACTCTGATCAAAATATAATGAGTTAAACACACTCTGAGACATCCCAATCTAGATTGCCCACGGTATGCCCTTTCCTCAGAGAAATGTAAGTCACCCTGACTGAGAGTTTTCCTTCACAGAAGTCTATAATTCCAATATTTTAATAAATGTTCACGGAGGCTCAGTGTTTTTTTGTTATTTTCCATTATATTCCACATAGCTGATTTAACATGGCCCAGTGTGGTTAGAGATCTAGTGCTAACCCAAAGCTGGAATTTTGGAATCCAAAGATTTCTAGTCAGCAGATATTTTGGCTGCACTGACCAGAGCTGAGCAGACTCTGAGCAGGTTTTCAAAGTACTACCAGGAACATTCACATTTTCTTCATTCTTGCTTCTGACTGCTCCAATGTTACTTCCAGTCTTTAGTCATTTATTTATCCTGAAGTTTACAGAAATACAGAGTATCTACAGAGCAATACAGTCAGAATGAAACACTAATACCAAAACCCAGCATTTACTATCCACACTCCAGCTCTCAGTGTAGTGGTTCACTTGCATTTTGGGAGAGTGCCAGAAGAAGCAGGCCACTGACCTACAGTTCCTGGCTTGAGTACAAGAGGAATTTTGGGCATCAATAAAGTAGCACCACATTTTCCTATCACACTTAGCCACACAGGCTACCTGATCTGTTGTCAGAACTAACTGTGCTGAACACCCCTAATTAATGGTTACCCATCTACTGTGTATGCAGGGCTTGATTGAAATGCTCAGGAGCAGCAGCACTTTGGTTGGCTCCACTCTTATCTTACTCGAAGCTGATAAAAGGAGTGCGTCTACCCTGACTGCCGCTCCTCACAAATCCCTGGGCAGAAGCAATCGCTCTCTGGCAGATTCTGTCAACAACAAACAGCAGCACTTTCCTGCGGTGTCACACCATTCTCACCTCTGGTGCAGTCAGGCAACAGCAGCATCTGAGCAGTTTTCTCTGACCCCATTCCTCTGCCTGCCTTGATGGTGAGGCTGTGGGGAGAAGGAAGAAACAAGATATCAAAAGCAAGAAATGTTTAGACTGCTTTACAGTTCTAGGTTGTTGGCTCTTGCAGTTACAGGAATGGCTTCTGATCTTAAGCAAATAGCACAGGGTGGAAAAATTGATCAATATTTCTTCACTGGCAGCTGCATTTTGAATGTTACCACTAATACAGGGCTGGGAATTTGGTACCTAAAAATCTCTCAAAGAGAACTACATTGACACTGCATTTTAGTGAAAAAAACCACTATGTGATGTTCCTCTATTTACATATCTCTGTTTATGTTTTTTCTGTCTTCCATCTGTGGAATGGGGAAACAAGAATTTAAATAGTAAGTGACAGCATTTATGTATCTGAATATTGTAACTTAAAGTGATACTCTCAGTTAGCCCTAACTGAAAATAATATTTTTTTCCTAATGCACTAGCAAATAAACCCTAGAATAACCGTAACTACAGCTCTTCTTTTTAAAGTCAAAATACTAGCCCCATTATACAGTTAGAGAACTCAAATGAAAACAAGAGTTGTTCAAATTGTATTTTCCAAAAGTAAACATTTTCAAGTGTGGATAATACATACATGTTTTCTGAATACATGCAAAAATGACATCTCTTTTATATGTGTGAAACATTTTATAGTCCTAATTCAGAACAGTATCTGTTGTTATGTCAGTACTTTAAAATATGATGTGTTTTAAGCAAGCATCTAAACTTTTACATGTTTAGAAGTCCTTGTCAATCACAGCAGGCAGGGGCAGGCAGCATAATGGTGAGAGTAATCTGTCTCTTCAAAGCTGCTGCTATTTAAGACAGGAAAACAAAAATCCCTTCTTGAATTAACATGTTGTGATTTTATCATAACATGCTTTCTGTGAAACATCTTACCCACAAATGTTTGGATAAAAGTTCTGGTGCTGATTTAGCTGAATTGCACACAAATGTACATCACAGACTCTCAATTCTAAAAGGCATGGTGCTTCGATACAAGTCTGGAACAAGAATATAGCTTCATCTAAATCTGTTTAAGTTAGTAACATAAAGCACACCATGAAACAAGATGCCATGAAGCCAAAGGGTTAGCCTGTATCTACAAGAAAATGGTTGAGCTTAGAAAAATTGGAGCCAATTATTGCAGCAGCACGGGGAATGCCTTATCCCCTAAGACAGGTGTAGCCCTGCAGAGCACTCCCTGCAGGCATTCCCTGAGGAAAGAGCCATTTTAAGTCTTCAGCAATGCTCTTCTGTCCTCTTGTTGAAGACCAGCGTACCCCCAGGAGACAGGAAAGAGCATGTGATCATAGAATCATAGAATGTGCTGGGGCTGGAAGGCACCCCCAAAGATCAGTAAGTTCCAACGTCCCTGTCATAGTCAAGGATACCCTCCACTAGACCAGTTTGCTAAGGGCATCATCCAGCCTGTCCTTGAGCACCACCAGGGATAGGTAATCCACAACTTCTCTGGGCAATCTGCACCAGGGCCTCCACACCTTCACAGTAAAGAATATCTTCCTAATAGCTAATCTAAACCTGCCCCTTTCCAGTTTAAAACCATTATCCTTTGTCCTGTCACTATCTCACCATATAAAAAGATCCTCACTCTCCTTTTTTCAAGTTCCCTTAAGGTACTGGAAGATCATAATGAGGGCTTTTCAGAGCCTTCTCCAGGCAGAACTGCCCCAAATCTCTCCACCTCTCTTCATAGGAGAGGTGCTCGATCCCTTGGGACACCTCGTGGCTTCCTCTGGACCTACGCTAACAGGTCCATATCCCTCCTGCGCTGGGGACCCCAGAGTTGGATGCAGTGTTCCAGGTGGGGTCTCAGCAGGGCAGAGCAGAGGAGCAGAATCCCCTCCCTCAACCTGTAGTACACACATTTGATGCAGCCCAGGATGCTTTTGGCTTTCTGGTATGCAAGCACTTGATGTTGGATCATATCCAGCTTTTATCTTCTAGAATATCCAACCCCACAAGTATGCTCTCAGTAAGTTCTTCTTCTCATTTGTTCTCAGGTCTGGGATTGCCCCAGCTCATGTGCAGCACCTTGCAGTTGGACTTGTTGAACTTCATGGGCCCAACTCTCAAGCTTGTCCAGGTCCCTTTGGATGGCATCCCACCCTTCTGTTGTGTCAACTGCACTGCTCAGATTTGTGTGATTTGCAAACTTGCTGAGATTGCACTCAATCCCACTGTCTGTGTCATTGAGGAAAACATTGCAGAGCAGTGTTCTCAAAACAGCCTGAGGACATCACTCATCACCAGCCTCCACCTCAACACAGAGGCACTGACCACAACTTCCTGGCTACAGCCAGCCAGCCAGCCAACTCTTTATCCATTGAACTGTCCATCCATCAAATCCAGGCGTCTCCAATTTGGAGATAAAGAGCTTCTGAATAGCTTGTAGCTCTTGATTGCAGTGTTCCAGTTGTATTACTTTCCCCAGTGTTTCCATGATAGCAATTACAGCACAGTTTTCTAATTTCACAATAGTTTCCAACTTCTCTTGCTTGTTACCCATGCAGTGTACAGCTGTGTAAGAGAACATGTCTTAAAAACACTCTCCATCTGCTTTAGTGCCTCTTTAGTGCCAAGAGGGTTAACTTTAATTAGGGCAGCTATCTTTGTAAATTAAGCCAGTCTTTGTACCAAATTGGATGAGAAGTTATCACAGCTTCCAAACCATTCATTCAGATGGGGCAAATCTGACAAGTGAGAGCCACGGGGACTTGCAAACAAGGGATGATGTCTTTAGTCAGTGCAGCCATTTCTTCAGTGAGGTCTGACCCATACTTCTGATGTGATCTTGGATCTAGCCAAGGTGAAACTTGTACTACCTTGGTTTGCAGTGACACAGTGAAAACATCCCTCTTCTAATGCCCCTCCAAAACAAAACAAGTTGTATTGCTTCAGTTTCCTGCCACAACTTAAGCAAAGGCCATGTGCACTTGGTAGTACAAAATGTGGAAATGTGATGAGAAAAGCCTGCCCAGAGTTGTTTTCTTAGCACTCCCAGCTGCAGGTATTTTGCTCACTATACTGAGCCATGGCAAAGCCATGTGAGTGGTTCTAGCCCATTTCAGTACACACAGTAAATTATATCTAGGTATCTGCTGCTACTGCATAAACTCAGAGTAGGAATACCCACTAACGGGCCTGATTTTACTAACAGTAAAAATTTTCAGAAAATGTTTCAAACGGTTATTAACAGCTCTGGTGAGACAATAATCCTCCCTCAAGGACCTAATACTGCTTTTTCTAGTATATTAGTAGAAATCTCAAAAGCAGGTTTTAAGGATCTCTGCTGCAAAGTAGTACAATCTTATAAAGCAGATCCCTGGTGGAAAACCCTGGCAGAGACAAGGCATGTAGGTAGAGCTGAGGCTTTTTAACCTTCCTCATATATACCTACTCCCGTTTATGATATACCTGTTGCAGTTCTGGTTCATGTTTATTTGATTGTTTTTCCTAGGCACTATATAGTGGTACAAAGTTTTCTGTCTTGAGAAATACACTGGGCCTGAGATCTTCCAGCCTTGGGCTTTTGGCTGTGCTGCTGGGCTCTTAATCTCCCGCCAGCAGTAGGTGTCCCCACCTCGCTCCACCCTTCAGCAGCGCATGTAAATCGGGGGCTGGCCAGGGAGTCCCAGCCCCGAGGGATGTTCCCGGCGCCCGGGCAGGGCTCAGCCAGCGGTACGGCTGGAGATTAAGCCTCACTGCAAGCTGGACAGCGGGAGGGAAGTTTCGCCAGTCCCGCTTTCCCTGTCCATCGGTGCCGGCGGTGTGAGGACCGCTGCATGCAACAGCCTGAAGTAGAGGGCTCTGGACATCTTCCTTCTGCTCAAGCTCTCCCGGAGGACCTCACGGCTACTTCTGGCTGCAGGAAAATGTACTGGGGAAATTATGTTAGGTAAGTTTGCTTGAGATGCTGGGGGCCCTCTCTAGCCAGGGATGCTCATTCCTTTTAAAAGTTCACACACTCACCATTCGTTTTGTGTTTGTGTCTTATTGGCACAAATTTACTTATCGTTTGATCTTTTTTTTTTTTCCTTCTTTTTTTATTTTTTTACAGAATTCTTTTCACTGTGACTCTGGTCTGGCAGGCTGTTCATTTAGAAAAAAGTAAGTGAACTTCATATTTCTCCCCGCTATGCTGTGTTTTTCTTCTACATTTACAGTATGCATTTCTTCATCACAAACTACCTTTCCCTTACATATTTGCACTTCTTGCCTAGGCCCTGTAAAAGAAGAATGGAAAGAAGTTGTGAAAGGTCTCAATGCTACAGCACAATTGCAGCAGCCCAAGTACGAAGGGACATTTACAAATGCGCTCAGTGATATGAATCAGAGTTACGAAAGTAGAAAGCAACAGAGTTCCAGGTCTTTAGTACCTTTCACTGGAATTACAGAGAGTAAGTAACATTATTTTTGTAAACAATGACATAAAATTACTTTTAAAAATTTTAATATAGGATTGCTTTAACTGTTGTCCTGGAAGATTCCAGCCTGTTGGTTTTCTGTGACCACCCACTTCAGTTATACCCATGGCCACTTAGTAAGTGGTGGTAAAAATTTAAGGTAGAACTGAAGATCTCTCTCTTGCAAAATTGTTAAGGAAAAACAAGGAAGAATACTAAGAATGAAGAAGTGCTTGGCACTTCGTGTTTAGAAGAGCATCTGTAAAATTTTGTAACATTCTGTTCATTTTTTAGAATTCACAATATTTAATGGCCATAAAAATGTTAATTTTATAAAAAAGGTTTGAGCTACCTGAAAGCAACAGTACTAAGAGGAAAAAAAGAATGTATTCTGTTTCCTCCCATATATAAAGTTTTAGATTGGTGCTCAACCCCAGGACTCTGAGAAAGGCTTAAGGGAGCATTTCCTCCACCCCAAAACCAATTAACTTCCCAGTTTTTATTCAAAAATAAGTATCACTTCCCAATAAAAATGCCTCATATCTTAGTGTGATTGAAACCTGCATCTGTCAAAGTGAAATATTTCACTTGAACACATCCTGCTGCTACAGGATTTGCCAGGCGTTGCTTCTTCACCGTCCTGTAATCCCTAGTAGCTTGTTTCTAATCCTTAACTAAACAAACTGGGTTTAGTTGAACAAACACTCCTAACAGGCATATAATTTTATTGTCTCTAAAGACAATAAAACTAGATATCCTTAAGAGACTTTGGGAACTGGAGAGACCTGAGAGAACAAGTGAGGAAAAGGTGAGGTTCAGAGCCCCTGAGATGCTTGTTAACCTCTGTAATATTGTCTTGCAGGTAAAAAACTGAACAGACGCTGCTGCCAGAATGGAGGGACTTGTATCCTGGGGACCTTCTGTGCCTGCCTGAAGCACTTCACCGGCAGATACTGTGAATATGACGAGAGGCTAGGGTAAAAAAAAAAAAACAATCCAAAATCAGAGGAGATGAGTGTGGTGCTCTGAAGGGTTGTTTTCCAGGGATGTACCAAATGTCTCCTTTGTCGTTAGCAGAAACTGCGGCAGCATTCCCCACGGCGTCTGGGTGCTGAAGGACTGCTGGCTTTGTCGGTGTGGCTATGGTACACTGCACTGTCTCTCAGAAATAAGGCAGAGTAACTGCGGTAAGAAATGGCATTAAATCAAACATTTTTAACTCCTGGTTGACAGAATTGCCTTCTGCAGTGGTGGGGTACTTGGAGGATACAGTATGTGCACTAGTTGGACTTCTACAGTGCGTTGCTTTGCTTTAGAGAAGGAATTAGTGAGACAGTAAAAAGCACTGCTCTTTGACTATATAGTACAGCACAAAAGACACTTTCAGATATTCATAATTCTGTACAGTAGGAAACTTCCCACCGTTCTAATTGAAGATTACAGAGGTTAAACACTTCTCTGTTCTGCAAAATCTGCACGTCTATGACTTCCACTTAACCAGGACAATTTGTACAACTAGACTAAATCCAAGTACAAAACATGTTTCTAAGGCAAAGAGCAAAAACAGTAGTGTATACTGGTGTAGAGGAAGTAGAAACCGGGATTTCACTAGAGAAAAAAGTTGTGTCTACTAAATACACAGAATCATCAATCATCATGCTTAAATGACTCAAAACTAATCTGAATATTTTTTTCTGTATCTCAATCTTCTGAATATTCTTGTATGAGTTTTAAGTCTGAACACACGCCTCACTAAAAAAATGTGTAACCATTATTCTGGTCAGTGTAAAGTAGTGCCACCTAGTCTCCTAAAAAGCATTCTATCATTTTAAGTGAAGTCTTGCTACATCAGCCTGTGAAATTCCCTGAATAAATGGTTGAATATTTTTAAAAACAGTCTATCAACTAGCATAAGGATTTAAAGAATTGCTATACTGGTATTATTTTCCATGGAGAACTGACTGATCCAGACTGTTCTCAATACTCTTGAGATCACTTACAAGGATTTAATAATATTTTCTCTTCTGTGGAAAATCAATGCAAAATATTCTTGCCCTTTCCACCCATAATATCTCAATCATATCTTGCACTTTCCTTCAGTTGTGCCAACATCACTCCTTAGCAGGGTAAGAAAACAACAGACCTAAAGGGTTTCAAGACTCATTTGCACCCCAAGCAGTCTCTTGTTTCCTGACCAGATTCCTACCTGAGTATCAATGCCTTGAAGCTGGGACTTCTAAGTTGTAGCACCAACTCAGATGTAAATCAAAACATTAAAAAGGTGACATACCTACCTTTGTAACCCTAGACAGAAAAAAAAAAAAAAAACCAAAACCACCAGAACAGCTTTTTCCTTGAAGTCTTCTGTATTGAGCAGTTATATGTATCACACAACATGCTCATTAAACTTTTTACATGTTTAGCATTGAATCAGCCCTATTGCTCCTCATTACTGGAGCAAAAGACAAAATGGGTCTCCCTATGCTCTGAAAAAGCAGTCAACTACTTGCTGTTCTTAAACTCAGTTTAAGAAGGACAATAAAGGTCTCAGTTGAATCCTCTGAGCAGGGACTCCGTGGTTTTCACATATAAGAGGGTATGGCTCCTCTGCTTTTGCTAAAAGCTAAGTCCCTTGTTCGTCCCTTGTTAAAGGAAGGGTTAAAAGCCGACATTCAGGCTTGGGTGCTTACCTCTTGTGAAGTTCTTCCTCTTGCTTTTGCTTGGTATTTACTTTTGATTATTCTGAGATTAATGCCTGCAAGAGCTGATAAGTGCTATCAGTTGCTCCTCAAACGATCATTGATGGGACATCTATTTACATCTCTCCCCTGAGAATGGTCCCTTTGATTGGCTTTAACAGCTGATACCTTTAACTTAAGTACCTGTGAGATGTCAGAGAACTTTTCAAGTATGTTGAAAAACCTTATGTTTTCAAATTTACATACTTACTCATTAACCATTTTATTTTCTTGATTTTATTTCTTTTAAGAACTGACATCGGAAACAGAGGAAATTATCAGACTGTATTCTAATGGTTTAAGATTACAGCAAACAGTGTTTTCAGTCACTTGCCTGCTCGCCATCCTCTGGAGTGCTGCTAGCTGGCAGCTGTGAAACTGGACAAGGGGAAATACTCAGGGTTGATGGAACCCTCACCATGAATCATACATTTCTTCTATGAGCTACAGAAGACTCTTCTACCTGCATGTTGGAGGCAGATTAAGATGTATTAGTTAATGCTGAAATACCTGGGTTATTATAAATTGAGATTATATGAATATGAAGTATTTATTATTATATTATTATATTAATACTGCTATCAATGTCTGATTCTAACGATTCTTTATTTTCAAAATACTGCTCTTCCAGTGGAAGCAACCCCCCCAATATTCTATGCCTGAAGTATTGTAAGTTATAGTAATTTCTTTTGTACACAGTACAACTCTTATAACAAATAAAACTTATTGCATTTCTGAAAACTTTTTGTTTAATTTTATTTAAACTTGAAAATTCTTATCTACCATTTGTCATTATATTTTATCTTGTAAGAAAAGCACAGGATAGAATGAGCAAACAGTAATTTGACACCATAAGGAGGGGTTTAAGAGTAGATATCTTTCAAGCTCTAATATAAAGAATTGTAAAAGTTTCATAGCTTTTCTTCTTCCTCTTTCTTTCTTCTTCTTATTTATTACAGCAAAATTGAATATATGCATAATCTGCATGGAAGGAATCATATGTCTATTAAGAACACATAAGTGATGGTTATTTTTCTTTTGGGGGTTTACCTTATATCCTAGAAATATGAATGTCTCCTTTTTTAAAGTGACAGCAAAGGGCAACTTTGTGTAACTTTTTCTACAGCAATAACCAATTATATATTGATTTATATATCATTTAAAAATTAGTATATCTAGGCTGTATAATACAAAATGTTTGTAAGTGCACTTTAATGCAAGTTTACGAAGCAGGAACAGGTTTGTTTAGAAAAAAAAAATGCAAAGATAAACCTAAAATGTATCTTCATACTTTTGGAGTGGAGGTACCACATTAAAACAATCAGATTCATAATTTCATTGACTAAAAAGACACTACTGATAAAGAAAACTCTTAATGTCTTTTAAAAATTCAATATATTTAATCCTTAAAATTTTAATCATTTCTTATTTATTTGGTGCTGCTAATCGAGACAATCCAGTTCTTAAGGAGAAAAGGATGCAATACCAACAAATGACATAATGTAGTGCCTGCCTTTAAATATATGACTACCCAGAATCAGACTTTTATAGAGAGTCACTGTGTAACAACATACTCATGTTCAATACTGCAAGTATTCAGAATACTCCTTCCCAACTCCAGACTTGTGCTGAGAGACAAGGCTTCTCACACTCCACATAAAATACAATTAACTAGAAATGGTCCTTTTGCCATTATTTCACACAAATTGGTCTGTACCCATCAGCCTGTGTTTCCACCGACCATCTTAGGATATAAATATATATCAAAGAGAACAGCTGGAGGAAAATAGCTGTGCCTTTATTTAACAGATGCTGAAATTTCAGGAATGCCACTGTGAAATCATCTTGGTTTGCCATATCATTCAGGTATGCCATAAAGCACACCTGAGAAATCTGTAAGCAAGACAGCTTGTAATGTCTTCAAATAGTCTTTACTTTTTAAAGGAAAATACATAGCACAGTAAAAAATACATCTGAAGTAATATTTATTTTTTATCCCTGTAGAAAATATACAGATCCATTAAAGATTGCAATTAACAAAAGAAAAATGTTTTAATACAGGTTTTACAACAGAACAGCTATTTCTGTTTCAATAACACTCACAGCAGATTTAATCATGAAAAGCTGAACTGGAATAACTCTCTATGTAGATGAGCCTATGTGCATGCAAGAGTCACCCGATGAGGCTATTCATTATTGAGTTTGTCTGATTTGCAGAATTAGACCAACTGAAATGTCTAGCAAAAAAAGTATTTTTCTGCCATACCAAAAGATTAATTCAGGGCATCACATTAGATGCATGGTCCTTTTTCTACTGTCTCAAAGCATTGCATGGGGAACTTGGATGCATAAGCAGTTTTAATCATGTCAGTGCAATTTATTACTGACTCTGAATGCCAGAATTTGAAAATTATCTCTGGATGAAAAAAACAGTTTTTGTTTGATTTTAAGATAACAGTTTCCTTTCTCTCTATCTTATCTCATTGCATTCTTTTACTGGAAAATCTGAAAATTCTGCTTCAGGATGATTTTATATCAACCATACTCTGGCAAAACTACTCCCTCAGTGTCAGTTGTGGATGATGTTCATCTTGTCTTTTTGTCAGAGCTCTGGAATTGGTGAGGCGTAGGTAGAAGTTCAGTCTGTGTTACTCACATACTTCTGAAGCAGAGGCAGCCACAGGAGTCAAATTAGAAGAAAAATCTATCTCCTTAAGTTAAAGAAAAAGAAGAAGAGCAGAAAATGAAAAAGCATGCAGAAGTTGTCCCATGAATAGTCTCATTTGCAAATAAAAATGTAACTTAGAGGGAGGAAAACAGAAAGCACTGAGGAACAAAGGAAAGCATACAGTCACAATCTTTGCTTAGGTTAAAACTGTCTCCGCTTTTATCTGTCTCCAGCTGTCTGCAAGAGCAGATAAAAGAAAGCATTATTTTCCTTCCCTGTTACCATCTAGGCCTGGCCTCCCTTCTAACAGTGCAATTACAGGCACTTTGCTAAGGTTTGTTTATAGCAAACAGCAATGCTTACTCTTCAGCTTCGTGCTAACTCACAGACCACTCTGTCAGACATGGCACATCCCAGCAAAATAGGCATCTGTCCCTGCAAGTTCATGCATGTGCCTTCTCTATACGCAGCCACATTTGGGCAGCGGGAAGGCCCTCAAGGAGAAGTATTTATCGGATGATCCTCAGGGCCCCAGAGCCCAAGGTCTTTTCCTCCTTGCAGCTGACTCCAGAACTAAAACAAATGGTGCTGCCTGCAGCTAGCCTCAGTGGCTTCGCCCTTGCAATTGCTCCAGCCTCCATCACTCCTAGGGGCATGCCACAGCTGATAAGAGCCCAAACCGGGTAAGAACGTGGTGGAGAGACTGCTTTCTCTGCGGCCAAGAGCCCTGGAGCTGGAGCTCTGCTGCAAGGCACAGACCTGCAGGGGATGCTGCCATCTGCCCTTAACACACTGCCCATTTCAAAAAGAAGGGATTCGTTTTGCATAAGGCCATGTAGTGCACCAAGGTGCACACTCAAACCTGTAAAAGCTAACTTCCAGGTACCAGATACTGAGGAAGTGTCACTTATGTGTCTCTCTGAGTATCTGATGGTTATCTCTTGAGATGACTTTATTCCCATCAAGGAGATACGGTTTCTGTTCCCCCTGAGAAGTGTTAATGGTACCTATAGGTGCCAATAGCCTTCTCTCACCTAGAGAGAAACCAGCCAAAACAGAATTAGAAGCAATTTCCCACACGTGTTGATCCAGAGTTATTTGGGGGTCCTTTTTGTTTTTAATCGGCATATTTGAGATTGCTAAGGTTGTATTTTGCTATTCGTCTTTCATTAACTCTCATAGTGTCAGGTCATTACACCCACAAATTTCATACAGCTGAGCAAATATACAGCAACTTTATATTTTGTCTTCCATCAGTTGGAAGGGTAATATAATACAGCAGGCAGGCTCATATATTGAGTAACCCTGTGAATTAGAATCACATAATAATAGAATATTCTCAGTTGGAAGGTATCCACAAGGATCATCAAGTCCAACTCCTGTATCCACACAGGAGAAGCTAAAAGTTAAAGCATATATTTAGGAGCATTTTCCAAAGTTATAGGTGTATATCTTATGGAGACCTATCTAGCTACCCTGCAATCATCATCTGTAATTCACTGTCTGCCTCATCTTTTACAGCACAGTCATGTACAAGCATGGGAGACTTAATGACAACACGGCAGCTGTATACTTGCCCTCTGCAAAATTACCCAGCTTTGTGAGTACTCCTTGTGATTGTAAAGCACCTTCTTGGTCAGAGAAGATATTAAAACCTGTAATTCCCTCCGCATTTGGCTGATTGACCTTGCCCTTGGCTTATGCTGCTGTGAGGGTGACTTCTTGATAAGGTCGTGAAGCTGCCATATGTCACTGGAATAAAACCAGATGCCTTATGCATGTTGGGTCTAGCATTTGTCTTCAGGTACATGTGGGTACAGAAATAGCCTTCATTAGCAGCTGTCTTCATCTGCTGCAACCCAACCATATCTTTACAAAACTACAATTTATAATCAAACTGAAGTGAGGCTTCAGTTCAGGTACTATTTGTTTGATAACATTTGGATGAAATGCTGGGAATGTACTATGAGGGCAGAAGCTCTGGTAAAGTCTCAAAAGCAAACAGCCAGAAAGGCACTGACATTACAGTTAAAGGAAGCACATTGTCCAGCTGAGCCTCCAGCAGCTGGTCCCAAGGACTCAGATCTCTTTCTCTGACAGCTGAGATACCTCTCAGAGCTTCACACTTTGTCTGGGGCATAGCTTGTCACCTTTCACTGGCTTTCTGTGAGCAGAAATAGACATTCAACCTGTGAGGCTCCAAATCAAAGAATTAGGTCTGGCAGGACTATGACAGTCATTTTCAACCCATCCTCACAGAGTTTTCTGTCACTGGACAGCAAACAGTGCTGATCATTAAATTCCTTTGTAGGCATGGCACATAACATCCGGCATCTCTTACCAGCAATGTGTCTTTCTGCCTGTTCTCCACAATACAATGTTTGTATCTTCCCAATAAACAGAAAGATTCCTGTGATCCATCCTACTTGTAAATCATTACAAAGTGTTATAAACAAGAATAAATCTCATATATGCATATATACAAGAAAGAAACAAAAGAACAAAGAAACCTTTTTCTCACCAAAGAAACAAATAGCTCTATCTCCTGTGCTGACATAAAAGCTCTTGTCAAATTCTAGGAAGTTTTGTGGGGAAAATTGTGTTACATGTTTTTGAATCACCAAGATTAAGTCCTTTCAAAAATATGAAAAGGAGTATCAGGAAAAAAAATTAATTAAAGTGGTACAATGCTGAAAAGACACTATTTGCAAAAGCATCTTTATGTACCACAAGCAGAGAGTCAGGATCAAAAATAAAAATTGGTGTCAAAGAACCTCCCCACCTGACTCTGTACGTGAGTTCTTTTAAAGAGTGTTTCTTGGACAAAAACCTTTCCAATAAAAAACCAAAATATTATCAGACTTGTCAAGTCCTATGCTTACATGTCAGTCTGGTTCTTCCAAATCCCACATTATGTTTCCTCACCTCAAATTTGTTTAATATAGCATCAGTACTGAAGATACTTCTTGCACAAGAAGGAAATCTCCTGGAAAACAATGTGCCTGTACACCTAATTAGCTTTGAAGGTGTGTTATGGAGGCCATGTGATGTTAAAATGGGTTGAGTT